GCGGGCAAGAAAGTGCGGACCAGCAAGAAGTGCGGACCAGCAGCTAAACACCCATTCGCGGACGAGAAAGCCTCTGGCACAGTCAACTACGATGCGCACAATAAAATCATGCTGAAATTTGGATACTCGGGGCGATTTCGGTAGATAGTATAGCAAGCACGAGGGGATGATGGCGCGCGTCACGGATAATGTGGAAGTCTCAGGGGGCAGTGGTAGCGACAAATGGCGTGAAGCAGGGCTGCTTCGCACGGGGAACCGCATTTTCACAGAAGCAGGGATGGGCTACAATTCAAATTGATCGGGATCAGAGTCAGTCTCTTCCTAATTAGGTAGGTTGTAGATCGCAGTAATCGACACACAGAGTCATTGGCAGGTCCACCGCTTCGCAGCACGAGAAGACCGCTCTGAAAGGCTTAAGGTTTTTGTCCGAATACGGGAAAGAGCAAATAAATTTAAATTGCAAAACATACTCTTTATAGACCGTTTGCTCCGTGCCATCAGGAAAGGTGGTTTGGACAGTGCCCTCCGATGCATACGTGTAGATCTGTAAAATGAAGAAGAGGATCCCATAAGATGACGTCTAGATACGTACATACCCTTGAGTCATATAACCGCTGAGTATACTCGCGGGGGTTGCAACGTCTCGGGTTGGGTATGGCTGGCTGATGACGACTAATAAGATAAGAATGGCTATTTTATACTCCTGGTTGATACTAGGAATTAGATATAACACTAGACACTGTGTGGCTGTTGGTGGGTAGCAACACCCGGCATTGAGTGCGGCTGAATAATTACAGTTAATATGACAGAAAAAGCCATTCCAGTCTCCTTGCCTCTGTCGGTAAAGTTCTGCCCATACTCCCCTTTTTTGCAGACTCATTCGGAAGGTCAAAGAAGAAGAAAAGCTGACCTTCAAGGTGGGTCGGTAAAGAAACAAACACTTAATCCCAATCCCCTCCCATGTTGTCGCAGTACCTTAGTTATGAGCAAAATGACGGCGCAGAACAAAAGCGGCCTGCCCATAAATCAGACAGTAGGGCTTACCACGGATCCATCCGACAGGGTGAGCTTTGTATCGCCGTTAAAGAGCACCACCAGCGATGTCTTGCCGTCGGGGTAAATTTCCTTAACCGAACCGTTGGCGTAATTTAGAATGACACCACCGTTGCTGTATTGTCGTTCAATCTACAAAAAGGAGTGAGAAAATAAAATGGAGGAAAGTTGGGTGAAGAAAATTGCACTAAGGACCAGGAAAGGGGGAAGGGAGGGGATAGGCGAGGAAAACAGAGACTACTTACCGAACCATCGGGGTG